AGGAAAGGGTTGGAGGGAAAAGGAAAAGCGATCCCAGGACTGAACCATTATAGCTTTAGGGGGTAACAGAACACACCAAATGAATCCTGCACCACAACAGCTTTGGGTCTTTTTGTTTTAGCAAAACGAGCTGTTGAGGGGTGCCAGGTTTGTGCTAATGTTAATAGCTGGACTACAAAGGAGATTACAAGGCGGGGGGTGGGGGCAACCTTGGGCTGCACATCCTTTCCAATGTTGCCAGGTGGATTTTACTGAAATGCCCTGAGGGGGAAGACTTAAATACCTTCTGGTAATAGTATGTCAGCTAACAGAAGCATTCCTGAACACTTAAGCAACTACTGAATCAGTTATTAAGGTATTTTTAGAACAAATAATTCCAAGATACGGGATTATGGAAGTAATGGACTCAGATAGAGGAGCTCATTTTACAGGAAAAATCCTTCGAGGGGTTATGGCTGCTTTAGGAATACAATGGGACCTCCATACCCCCTCCCACCCCCAGAGCTCAGGCTGGGTAGAAAGAATGAATGGGGAAATAAACACCTTTTGTTGCAGGTGACAGAAACTAAGATGCCATGGATATGGCTTTTGACATTAGCTTTGGCAAGAATAAGAGTCAAACCTAGAGGAGATATTCAATTATCTCCCTTTGAATTGATGTTTGGGATACTCACCTGTCACAGCACAGCTGGACTATAGCTGGGAAAATAAATTTGGCCATAAATAAGAAACCCAGTTTGGCTAGCCTAGTTTGATAAACAAGTCTCTGGATGAACAATGATAGGATAGATTTGAACTCAAACAGAGACATCAGCCAACCCTGTTCAACCATGGATGCAAACACATCACTGGCCAGAGATCTGGGCGGTACAGAGATCCCAACCAATCAGGTATCCAGGCCTGGGAAATTCAAACCCCTTATAAAAAGTAGTTCTGAACAATAAAACAGGCTGTTTGTTGAGGACCCTCAGGGAATTCATGTTGTCTCTGTCTCCAACCACCCACCCACGTAACACTCACCCAGTTAATTCTCAACCTAGTGGGAAGTGGAGATAAGTGATGTGTATTTAAACCAGTATGTGGCCAGAATACTGTCTCTCATGAAGTCTCTGACAGGAAGCTCAGCTGGCACAGACCCTGCCTTTGGACTTTGCTGTTCATAACATTCAGCCAGGAGATTGGGTCCTAATTAAGGAGTGGAAAGAAGCACCACTGGTGGCGAAGTGGTATGGACCATACCAGGTGTTACTGACTACAGAAACAGCCATCAAGACAGCTGAACATGGGTGGACCTATCCTACCCAGGTCAAGGTCTCTAAAGCCCCAGAGATTTGGACTTCTCAGCTGGAAGAAAAATATGGGAAACCTCTAACTGCTAACTCTCTGCAGAGGTGGACCAGATCAGTAGCCCCAGATATTAGTGGGTTAATACGAACTGTAATTATTTACTTTATGCTGTTTCTTTGTATTTACTCGGCACACCTGGTGCAGGGACCAGATGTGGAAAAGATGGGGAGGAGGAGGTCAAACATTAATTTTTAAACCATTCTGTGTGCTTAAAAAACTGTAATGATAACTACTGAGAGAAACAACTGCTCACTTTGAAAATTAAAAAAAAAGGTTTATTAAACCTTAACAAAAATACAACAAAGGACTACATAAGGAAAAAGTTGCAGCGCTGGGAACTGCTCCTCGTGCATACCACATGGCCAGTTAGTCTTCAAGATGGATGCTCAGTCTTTTATACCCCTGGGGGTTGCATCAGCCAGCCCTGGCCCCTCCCAAAGTCTGTCAGTCAGCTCTTCTTTGCCATTTTTCGGTGGAAACTGCTTTCTTGTAACTTGATTGGAGATCAGGTGTTGCCATGCTGCACCCCCTAAGCAACAAGCTTTTCCATTCCCAACTGCCCCAGGTAAGGGGCACATGTGCACACCTTTTTACCTGTCCTAGACAGCCCCGGCTGTCTGATGGTCACAATACAGGGGGGGAAAAGGAACTATGGGGAGAACAGAGGACATCTAAACTACAATAACATAACTATACATCACTAAAGCTTTTCTTAATATTCACACAATAGTTATCTTTTAATTGTGAGAGCAAATAATCTTATTATCTACCTATAACACTACGGTTTGTAAAGATGAATTGAGAAATAAGAAGAGGAGGGGTTGACAGGAAAGATGTGTGCTAGTGTCTTTACAAACAATTCGATAGGTGAGGGTATGGGTGTTAACATCTTTGAAATGGGTCTTAATGTCTCTACCAACTTCAAGCCCCAGGTTTGTTACAGAACCCAGACAGTTTGACTCCTGAAAGAGACAAATGGGTTGGTACAAGCCTGAGTTTCTGAACTTTGGAGGAAAATGACAGGTTCAAGGGGGGAATATGTGGTAAGTGGTTCAGGAAGGCTGTACCTTCCTAGTACCTCAGCCAATGGGGAAAGGAAGAGGGCAACATGCAGCCGGAAGTTTAGGATAAAAGGAGGCTGTGTCCTCTGAGACCTTGAGAAAGACCCCAGGTTGTATGCTTTAGTGAACTCTCTCCCTTTATTCAAATAAAGGTGTAGGACTTCTCTGTCTCCTTTGTGGACAGTGGCTTTTCACAGCGTGGATTTTCTGCACACAAGCAATTACTACAGAAAATTAAATGATCAAACAGTAGTTACAAATGTGATGCTGCTCAAAGTGACTAGGAAACTGTACAGGAAATGCAATCCTAAACCTCTTAGAGCTTCATTATGTTAGGAACAACCCTCAAAAGAGAAACCCAAGGGACAGCATTTAACAAAATGGCTTGCCTAAGGTACAGTAATCATTATAGGGAAAAAAGGAAGATGAAATGAGTTTTGGGGTTTTTTAAAGTTGTATAAAAGCAATAATGAGGTGAAGATGGATGGATGCTGTTGACAGTGTGGACTTAGTTGGACTGATGCTGACAATTTGGGGAGCAAGTACAAAGCATGCTTCTAAGCTGCTTTACTTGGCACACAGGAGCCTTATGAGTTGATATTAGGCAGATAAAGCTATTACATTAAAACTTCAAGGCAGCTGTGAAAAACACGTTCACTCTCCTGTGAAAACGTTAAAAGTTTAATAAAGGACAATAGGAGACAAGGACCATAGAGCAAAGGTTATTATGGCCGGGTGCGTCATGGCACTCAGCCAAGACCACCCTGTTATCTTCGGGGATACCCCTTAAATATCTTTTCCATCAGCCTGTTGCATATTCATAGACCCTTATGCATAGTAAACTTTTCCCCCAAACTAGTTTACATGTTCCAAGAATTGTTTAGCATGGCTCCTCCTTGGGTCTGCCTTTTTAGAGCATGCGTATTCCTTGGCTGTGGTTTTTAGTCCATTCTTATCACGTCTAGTTTTTGGGCCTTGGTCCACACTGTCTTCAGACAGTGAATGCTGATAGTTGGCATATCTGTAGCAGGTGTCCTCATCCTATGCTCATTGGATGTTATCCCATCCAAGCAGGCATTTTAACACAAGCATACTTATTTCACTACTATGTCTAAGCTTAATTAACAACAGAAATAAAAACTATATAACAAAGTTACTTTAGCACCACACATATAGAATCCATTTTAATATTTGCAAAAAGCCAATCTTATAATATGTATCAATAACAGCAGCACAGTCACCATCTTGTGCCAAATAGGCACACGTGTGTGTTTTTAAGTCAGGGACAGGGCCAAGAGGAGAGGCTCGCACAGGCGGCTCGCAGCTGGGACGAACATCTGGTCCAGGCTAAAGCGAGCAGGGAGGCAGCCCCTAGGGAATGGGGGCGCCCATCTTGTGCCAGCCCCGCCCAGGTGCCGTGAAGGGCGGAGAACAAACCGCGGCGGAGCTTCTATACCCGCCTTCTCCGTGAGCCGGGCCTGTCGTGATGCCACGCCGAGCTGCACAGGCGCTGCAACTACCAGTATTTGCTATATCCGGCCGGCGCCTTTACCCTTTCTGTCCGCCCCCCGCTTTCCGCCCGCCTGCCCTCTCGAATCTGCCGCCGTCAGTGCTGTGCGCGCCCTCACTGCCCCCTGTGCGCTGTCCGGCAGTGCCTCCGATATCCCCGGCTGCCCCATGAAGCGATGGCAGCGGACAACTTCAGCAAGGTTCAGATAGGGATCTACGTGGAGATCAAGCGCAGCGATGGTCAGTGGGGCAGGGGCGGCGGGATGGGGCAGGAGCGGCGGGAGGGAGCCAGTTCGACGAAGTGGCCGAGTGCCGTCGCCCCGGTGCGTGGCGAGGGGGAGGCTGCCCGCGGGGCCCATTGTGTGCGCGGGGCTGGGAAGTGGCTGGGCCTGGTACGCGCTGCGGTTGTCAGGGGAGCGCTCGCGCTTGGCGGTGGAGGGCGGTTGCGTGGGGCGCGAGCGGCGGCGTCTACCGCTGGGGGCGGGGAGGCTGCAGCAGGCCGGGGAGGCGACGGGGGGGCCGCGGCGGTGGGTTAAGGGGATGAAATGGGGGGGAGAAGAGGGGTGCGAGAGGGATGAAGCCGGGATGGAAGGGGCTCATGTGGGAGGAGAAAACGGGACAAATTTGGGGTGAGCTATGAGATATGCGGGGTCGCTGTGGATAGGGTTGAGGTGATTTGGGGGAAAGAGGGGTGTGGGTGGGAGAAAAGCATGGGGAGGTTTTGGTGGATAGGTGGGAGGGGATGAGGTGATGGAAGGAGGAAAGGCTTTCAACGCAAAGTAACGACTTCTTGTTTGCTTTGGCATTTGAGCCGTGTTCTGAAAAAATGACAGCAGTATGCTCTGACAGAAATGCCTTTAGATGCTTTCATCATTTGACAAAAAAGCTTGGTATTATTATTCCAGTTGTTCCTTATGATTAAAATACACAAAAAGTATTTTCTATTTATGCCCATGGGTTGTTTTTTCTCTGTTGGGGATCCAGTATTTCTCATCTTGTCCAGTATCTCTTGATGGGAGGATGTATGTTGGTGACTGAAAATACATGAATAAAGGAAGTGTGTGTGTTAGGTTTAGGGTACTAATTTATCATATTCGTCCAGAATGAGAACAGAAATGGGAAGTTCACTGACTGAATCAATGACAAGTCATTTGTGACTTCAGGTCTTCAATTTGAGTGGGAATATGTAATCTGTTGTAGAGCTTGTCGGTGAAGAAAGCTGACTTGTTCTTCACACTCCGGACTGCAATGCACAGAGGGGAGGGAATGCCTCTGTGAGATGTATGACACCTACTAAACAGGGGTGGGTTTCTGCTGGGATTTTCTGGAAAGTCTTTTTTTATTTTCTTTTTTTTCTTTTCTTTTTCTCATCTCCTAGATTCAGGAGCTTCCTAAAGAATAAGCAGATGTTTTTAAGGGAAGAAAGACCTGGAGGTCAAAGGCACTGAAGTTAGCATGGTCATAAGACAGGAAACAAGCATCCAACAAGCTTTATGCAGCTTGTCTACTCATGTCCCATACTGCAGTTCAACCCTACAATAAAATAATAGTTGGTGTTACCTGGACACTATATTAAACCTAAGCCCTTAATTTGTGCTTAATGGCTTGTATGTCACGTGAAGGATCTGATTGGTCTGGCAGTTATTTACATAACTCCTGCAGATCTATGTCTGAGGTTTCAGAAAACCTCACTGCAGCAACTTGTAAAACTTTTTCTGAGGCTTGTGTGAACTTCTAATAAATGTTGCTGTTTCTTTTGTATGCCTTTGGAAAATAAGGCATGAGAAAGCTTTGCTTCTTTCTCCCCCTTCCCCCCAGGTTCTGCTGTCCATAATGTCAGAAGTGAGGACAGTAACTCTTGAACATAACAATCCTTATTTTCAGTATTGTTAACAGTTTACATATTTTGGTGTATCACTTATATATGTGATGCAGCACATTAAATATATTATGCATCGATAATATAGTAGGGAGATGCCTTCACAGCAGTTGCTCAAACTATAGAATTTTGAGCATTTGTGTTAATTTTGCCCTTGTGAGCAACCAGACTGCAGTGTCATACCAGAGTTAGCAAGTCCTGGTTATTGTGAGGTTTACTTGTTTTTCATTGGGACTGGAGGAGGAGATGCTCCGTTATGACTCCAGCTACACTTCTGTCATTCTCTTTCCAGTAAACTGTAGGAGGAACTGTCCTAGGTATGTGGAAGGGAGCATTTTAAGAAATATATCAAAGGACAGACAGCACTAGATTGCATTTAGCTTGCATTGCCTTTCAGAAGGTAGGTTTCTGACCTGAACTGTGGTTGCACAGGCAGTCGAGATTGATCTATCTGCTTCTGACAGGGGGAGGGTCTTGTTGCCTGTCAGCTGTGTTGTTTCTACTAACTCTCCCATCCAGTGTGGCCAGTTGTCATGGTTTAATCCCAGCCAGCCACCAAGCCCCATGCAGCCACTCTCTCACTCTCCTCCCAGTAGGATCAGGGAGGGTAAAAGTGAGAGAACTCATGGGTTGAGATAAAGACAGTTTAATAGGAAAAGCAAAAGCCACACACACAAGCAAACCAAGGAATTAATTCACCACTTCCCATGAGCAGGCAGGTGTTCAGCCATCTCCAGGAAAGCAGGAATACACATCACATGTAATGGTTATTTGGGAAGACAAATGCCATAACTTCAAATATCTCCCTCCTCCTCCTTCTTTCCCTCATTGTATATACTGAGCATGATGTCATATGGTCTGGAATATCCCTTTGGTCAGTTGGGGTCAGCTACCTCAGCTGTCTCCTCCCAACCTCCCATGCACCCCCCGGCCCCTTCCCCAGCATGGCAGTACAAAAAGCAGCAAAGACCTTGGCTCTGTGTAAGCCCTGCTCAGGAATAAAAAAACCCCATGTATATTATCAACCCTGTGTTCAGCACAAGTCCAAAACATAGCCCCATACCAGCCACTGGGAAGAAAACCAACTCTACCCCAGCCAAAAGCAACAGTGAAATGTTTTTTTCCTCTAATACATTAATACATTTAATTGATGATTGGATTCACTAAACACAGCAGAAAGCTTTTGAATGTGTTAGTTTTCTACAGGATTACTGAGATCAAATGACTTAGAGGGATCTGCGACCTCAATACTATCAGTGTATAGGAAATGCATGGACAAGGTAAAGGTAAAATGTATGATCTTGTTCAGTAACTGTGAGCTACCTGAGTCTGCTCTACCCAGAACTACATTCTAAGTAGAATCAGAGCTGTGTATTGTCCCAACTACCCTAGGATGAAAGCATGATTAAAACAATTTAAAAAATTTTGGAGAAAATGGTGTGTTGGTCTGGGCTTTTTTTCATATTGCCTTATCTGTACGAAGTCCTTTTATTAAAAGAAAATTGTTTTGAGATGTAAGTATAATAATTTTAAATTTTCTTATTTACCTGTTTATTTTCTGAATCCATGTGGTGGGTTCAGTGATGGCCAAATGCTTAAAATCAGTTACCTATTCTAATACAATATCAATACTAATTCTAATATAGTAACAACTTATCGTTAGTTTGTTCAAAGAACTGACTGTCTTAATTTATCAACAGCCTTTTTCCAGAAACAAAGAAAGGATAGAATGTTCATTCCCCACTCATAGAGGGGCCATCTGATTGATGGTCGTCATCTTCATCATCGTTCAGAGGTTGCCTGTTGGCTACATTCTGTTTTTGGTGTCGCAAGTCAGGGCGAACCCACCTCGCAGGTATCCACAGTACCCCAGTATCTGTGGAAACACATGCATACCCGCAGCCCCAAGTGATAAGGTTCTACGGGCCCTCCCACTTATTAGTGGCTAGGTCCCGTATCTGGACTTTTGCTCGAGGCAGGTGTGTCTCACCTGAAGAGTGCAATGAGAGAAAGTGATTTAGAATGACAGGATTCTCTGAATTCTGTGGCACTGTAAGATGATTGATTGTATATAGAGCTTTTTCCAATCGACTGTGTGGGGTTTCTCCAGGCATTCCCCTTTTCTGTTTGTCCAGAACACGCTTTAAAGTACCATTAGTGCATTCAACAATGGCCTGGCCCATTGGAGAGTGCAGGATACCAAGTTTGTGTGACACTCCCCATAAGCGCAAAAACTGCCGTGTCTTCTGCAAGATATAGGTGGGGCCATTGTCAGTTTTCACAGAAGAAGGTGTTCCCAAGACTGCAAAAGCCATCCTCCAATGGGCAATCACGTAGCAACCCTTTTCTCCAGTGTGAGCAGAGGCCCACATGGCAGAGGAGAAGGTATCAATAGACACGTGCACATATTCAAGTCGGCCAAATTCAGCGATGTGAGTGACATCTGTTTGCCAAAGCTGCAAGGCCTTTAGGCCTCTGGGGTTTACTCCCGCTGGTAAAGGTCCAGCAAGTCCATGACAGCACAAGAACTGACAATGTCATGAGCCTCAGTTGGCATCAAGTGAAATTGTTTCTGCAAGGTATGTGCACTTTGATGGAAAAAATCATGCGATGCTTTGGCTTGCGCAATCATGTCAGGCTGAAGCGCTACCCAGGCAGGGTTAGCCAACCTGCCAGCCCTGGCATTACCTTCCGCTATGAAACCTGGCAAATTGGTGTGACTCCGAATGTGCGAGATGTAATACGAATGAACTCAGGTCTCAATTGCACTCCACAAGGTTCTCAATAACTGAAACAAAACTGCATTATTGACTTCCTTCAGGAGTGAACAATCCAAACCCTTGGTTATGTCTGCGACATAGGCAGAATCAGTGACCAAGTTCAGATGCATCTGAGAAAATTTCGTTCAGAGGTTGCCTGTTGGCTACATTCTGTTTTTGGTGTCGCAAGTCAGGGCGAACCCACCTCGCAGGTATCCACAGTACCCCAGTATCTGTGGAAACACATGCATACCCGCAGCCCCAAGTGATAAGGTTCTACGGGCCCTCCCACTTATTAGTGGCTAGGTCCCGTATCTGGACTTTTGCTCGAGGCAGGTGTGTCTCACCTGAAGAGTGCAATGAGAGAAAGTGATTTAGAATGACAGGATTCTCTGAATTCTGTGGCACTGTAAGATGATTGATTGTATATAGAGCTTTTTCCAATCGACTGTGTGGGGTTTCTCCAGGCATTCCCCTTTTCTGTTTGTCCAGAACACGCTTTAAAGTACCATTAGTGCATTCAACAATGGCCTGGCCCATTGGAGAGTGCAGGATACCAAGTTTGTGTGACACTCCCCATAAGCGCAAAAACTGCCGTGTCT